CTGTCCCCTTCTTTTTGCTTCCCAGGCAATAATTAGTGACTTACAGAGGAATTTAAGACCTATTTTGTAAAACTTGTACTAGTAAATTCATTAGAACTAAGAGAGGGATTTCAGATAGGGTCATTCTTTTCTGTTTACAAAAAGAATTGATTGGATCTTGGATTATCTGAAAGTTAAATAGCCCATTGAACAAACCAGAGATAAATTTCAGCACCTTTTAGTAGCAATGGCATTTGAGAATGAACACATTCAGACACCATGACTTTTTTTAATATGTCATTTATTTACACCAAAATCAATTTATATTCTCAAGGGAGTGGATTTCAAAGATTAAAAAAAAAAAAAAAAAAGAATGTCATGCCAGAGCAAACAATTTTGTTCAATTTCTATAAAAGCTAAGACTTAAATTGCCTGGCGCCTGGGGGGGAGTGGCTCACACCTGTAATCCTAGCTACTCAGGAGACAGAGATCAGGAGGATCACGGTTCGAAGCCATACTGGGCAAATAGTTTGCAAGACCCTATCTCAAAAAACCCATCACAAAATAATAGGGCTGGTGGAGTGGCTCAAGCCCCAGTACCGGAAAAAAAAAAACAAAAAACAAGACCTAAATTACCTTAAGTAGGGAGGTTGGACCATGTAACATGGTAAATTGCTTACTGAAATTCACATTTCTACATTTAAAATCTAATATTTTATTTTGGAATTGGCTAAAGTGTTTAAGAAGCTGTGATGAAACAGAAGAATTAATTTGTGAAAAGGCAAGAAGTCTGATCACGATTCAGACTACGTGAATAGTCAGTGAGTGCACCAAAGTAATGAGATCTTGGTGACCTCACAGGGATTTAGTCACTTGATCATTTCTCTTTTGAAGCAGTTTCAAAGGTACATTGTGCTATTTTGGTAACTGGCACAGATCTTATGTACAAAAATCAGAAAAAGCGGCTTATCTGCTTACTCATTTCCAAGTTTGTTGAATATAGACAGATGCATTTGCCCAAAAGTCAGATGGGGACTAGGGAGGAGGTGCTATGGACACAGGTGTCAGAATCCTGTCATTTCCAGCCAACAGCAGAGTGCAAGTCCACTTTGTAAAACATTCTAAGTTACCTTTTTTGGTTGTTTATGGTAAATCTGTATTTTGTGTATAAAGTAAGGTTACAGATATGACCCAAATGAACTCAACGGTGACAAATTACTGATGTTAAGTGGGAAGAATGATAGAGAGCACTGAAGGAGCAGAGTAAGACTTGGATTTTGGACTTGAATTAGTCCCTTAATAATTGCGTCACATTGGGCAAGTCACCAAACCTCATTAAGCAAAAGTTTGTTTTTGGTAGTGCTGGGGATTGAACCCATGGCCTTACACATGCTAAACATGTGCTCTACCATTGAACTACATCCCCAGTCCTGGTGAGCACAGTTTTTCATTCTTTTGAAGATAGAATGAAAGCCACAAAGCATTATTCTGGTTTTTTCTGCCCTTGTAGCAAACAAAAGGGGTGAAATGGATGCAAAGAAATCAAGTAGTAAAATATGCATGTATTTGTACATGTTTGAGGGACTAATGACTTCATTCATAAAATGCACCAAACTCTCACCATTATACAGCTCTGGTAGCTGACCCAGAACTCCATCTGGGTGTGATTTTCACAGGAAAAGACTTTGTAGTTCTTCAGTATTGAAAACCTTTAATAGAATGTAAGAACTCTCCCAACCTGCTCAGCAGTGAGTAGCTGAAGTGCTGATTCAGTGAAAGTCAGAAAGATGTGCTAATTATTAGATAGTCCCCTCCAAAGACAGATGCTCAGATTTTAGAAGAAGCGGGACTCAAGTAAAATCACACAGACCTGAAAGCAGTGCATTAATAATTTTATTAATTTCTTCTTTTTACATTATGGGAAACATTCATTTATTTACAATTATTTTTTTTGTCCACACACAATCTAGGTAAATAAGCCTATGAAATTCCAATTCAGAAAGCCATAAAAATGTTCCCCACCCCTCCATCTGAAGGCTTTCAAATGAATCTTTTTTTTTTTTCCAAACCAAAATAATTTTTAAAAATTACATTAGGGAATTCAGATATGCTAGTGATTTACATTCCAGTTATTTAAAATATGCATCTAGACATGTTTTAAAAAAGAAATGGTAAATTCACAAGGATAAGGCTTAAATGAAAGTGGTAATGCACAGTAAACATTAAGGAAACATCTATAAATAACAGAAATATATTACAAATAAATTAGTTCTATTTACCATTTCAAATATTAAAAATCTTTAATCCATTTCTTCATCTCTCTTTACAAAAAGATTATGTGAATTGTATGGAAACATCTGCAAAAAATATAATAAATACTTAATTTCTTTGAACGTCTTTTTTTTTTTTGATGTGGGGGACAAACTTCTTCTTTTGTAATCCCCCCCTCCCCAAGAAAATGCCCAACACCTTTATACCAAAGTTAAACAAAATAATATTTTCAGGGTACATACATTTCCATTATGAACTAAAAAACATTTCTACAAATTACATCAGAAAGAACGATGTAACAAAGGTTTGCTGATGAATGTCAGTTTCAGGGGTCAAGTGGTTCACAAACAGCATTATGTGGGGTCATGTTCTAACATCAGTAATTAGCTTTTTATAAAGTGTTTATACAATTTAAACTGTTTTTTAAGGAAGGCAAAGGTCATGATGCCCTGTAGGCGGTCCACTAAGATTTAAAATTCTTACCAAAAATAGCTTATGAGTATACAAATACCTTTCACTTAGACAAGATAAATAGGCCTTCTCTGGTCACTCTTTAAAATATCCTGGGCTAAAATCAGTTTCCAAAGGAAAAAATTATAAGACGATCACATTAGAAGTTAATTTCATAATCCAAATCTTAATTCTACCTCAGGGCACAGAGCTGGATTTATGGACATGGGTGTGGGAATGGTTGCTGCTTCCTTCACGGTAATCTGTGAGTTCCAAGTCCTTCTCAGCAGTGAATATGACCACAGGCTACTCAAGGTGACAACTGGCCTTACTCATGCAACCTTTATGTGACCTTTCATTGTTGCTACAATGTAAAGAAAAGGTGTATTCTTTTTGAAACTAGTAAGTCCTTGAAGCTAGAAATTTGTTCCAATTTTACAAAACAATTCACTTGCTTTGTTCACCCTAGTTAAAAGTTGGTTGGTTGGTGTTTAAATAAGTTAGTAGCCCTTTTCTTGTAAACCACAGCAGTAAACATTTGTGCCCTGTTGATAAGATAGCTCAAAGCATCAGATGGCTCTGAGAGGTAGCGAATTCTCTAGTGGTTTTAGAATATCCATGAAAATATTTGTCACCAGAACCCATCACCTCTCTTAATTTCATAAAGAAAATTAAATTAGCACCTGGCTATAAGAGTGTATTTTTTAAAAGACCTTTTCTGGTGCAAGCATATTTGATGTTATGTTTTTTAAGTCTTTTATTTTTCAATGGCATATTTCTAACGTTTTGGGTGTGAGCTTGACATAAATGCCAGTGATACTTTCAGATCGCCAGATTCTAAATGTTTAAACTGCTACAAGTATAAGGGCATTTGAAGACAACTTCAGCAAGACAATGCATCTTGCCCATCAATCATGACTAAAAATGGAAACCAACATTCTTTGCCAGAAGCTTGGATTTCTCTCATTGAATCATGATGCTTCTTCTCTCCTAATGGCTCGTGACCCCTGCAGGTCAAATTTTCTCTCTCACTACCTGGAACCTCAAAATGACAGTGCAGCTCTTTAAATGAGGCAGCATGTCTACTGGGGTGGGAAACTTAGTCTTTTTGACATAGGATGAAGTCCCTATGCTGAGGAATGAGTGAACTCTGCACAGTAGTGAGAGGAGACTAAAGGAGAAAATATCCCTGAAATATGAACTGCTGGGAAAAACTAGACGAATGTGTAGCAATCGAAGGGATGATAGGAAAACCCAAACTCTTTTCTGAACACAGCCTTGGTGCCATACAGCTCTTCAGAGACAGATGTGTACTTCTGTGTGTGGAATTGGGTAGGGTCCACCCAGATGGACCCTAAATCTATAGAAACACTTCCCCTTTTAAAACCCCTGCCACCACAACAATAGAACACACATAGTACAATAAAAGTTGATAAAACATTTCAGGTCTAGATTTTCTTAATAATAGGACCAAAAAAAAAAACAAAAACAAAAAACCAAAACCAAAACCCTTCTGTAGTATCTTAAAACACCAAAACTTCCTTAAGCCTTGCCTTTTTTTCATTTTATTGCCTTTCAGAATAGATTAATTTCCCTGAAAGATCAAATTTACAATCTTCTGCTGATTGAAACATTTGAAGCTGTGATTGATGAAGTAACAGTGAGGCAGTTTGTGCAGCTGTGAGAGGTGCAGGCGCCCCCAGGACCTGCAGATTTGCTTCTCCTTTCTCGCCTCCTACACACCCAGGCTTCTCCCCCCATCCCAGGCCAGCTTGGTCCCCTCTCTCTTTGTCACTCATTGATTCCGGTGAGATGGTGTGATTTCTGAGGTTGGAAATAAAGTGCTCTATCTGCTTTTTAAAAAAAGAATAACAGCTTAGGGAGAAATAAAGGGAATCGGAGCCCCTCACTCTTTCATGTGGAAGACGGTAAGTCCCAAAGGCTCACCCTGTGATACTGAATTTCTGAAATACCCTATGGTTTTATATTGCTGAGCTCTAGGGACACACTAGCTTGAAGGAACTGAGGATGGTGGGTGACCTAAAGGCGTCGTTTCTACACAGGTGGGTTGGGCTCGGCATAGAAAATAAAGGGTTGGCTCTCTGTATGAGGCAGGGTGACGGCATCAGGACCGGGGAGTGGGGGGCGCGAAGCTTGGTGAAGAAGAAGATGGGAGGCGGGGCGGCTGGGGACAGCTCGGCGAGGTGGACAACTACACCACTGACAGTGGAAGTCACTGAGCTCAGAAAGACGGGCTCGGAGGGGGGGAGGCGGCGGGGGGGCGCGGTCCTCGGCGGCGCTCAGAGCCGGGTCTGCGCCTCGGGGATGTAGATCTCGATGCTCTCGGCGCTCTCGGTGGCCGAGTTCTGGCGGACGGACGCGGCGCGCTTGGCGGCCATCAGGCGCTTGCGGGCCTCCTGGCGCTGCGAGCTCTCCAGCGAGCGCTCCCGGATCAGCGGCGCGGGGCCCTTCGCCGGCTTCTTTGGCACTGGAGGAGGGGCCCTTCTCTCCTGATCAAAGCAGAAGGTTCAGGACATTACACAGCTTCTCAGGACAAGCTTGGGAAAGACTGGGATAGGCAGTTAGAACACACTTTTTTTTTTTTTTTAATGTTACCTAAGGGTGGTTAGTTCTGATCTGCACATTGCATAGACATTTTGTCTTCATTATTCTGGCTTGGGTATTCAAAAGATGCAGGAAAAAAAAAAATCCTGGTAAGCTTAAGGCCAAGGGTTAGGCTGAATTGCAGAACTAGGTCTCTCCAAAGGCAGACTGTGGGTATTTTAAATGCTCCCCCCACCACCACTCCCTGCTGAAGGGCTGCGGCTCCCAGCACATCCAATGGGGTTCTCTCTGGAGACTCAAGGCGCTTCCTGGTGCCAGAAACGGGCCAGGAGACCGCAGCAGCAGAAGCATCTAGAACTCTGCTTCCCCTCTAGTCATCATCGGGTGCAAGCTTGGCTCAGAATTTTTAAATCTCTCCACTTTCTCCCCGGGCCCACCCAGCCTCCCTTTCTCCCCAGACCTAGGCATCATCCCAATGAGGTTGCAAGACTGTGTTCCTTAGCTTTGTTGATGGCACAATGAGGGAAACCCTTTGCACATCACACACAAACACACGGCAATACACTGTACAGGGTCACCGGAGAGGGAGGACACTGGTATTTCCTACGCTGGGGAGGGAGTCAGCTCCAAGATGACTCCTAAAACATCCTTTCGGGAACATACTTCCTAAGGGTCTCAGGATGACTGAGTGTAGTGGCCCAAAAGGCAGCCAACCACAGGACAAAACCAGTGCTATGAACGTTTAACAGGACTGAAAAAGGTCATCCCTCTTATCAGCAGCAAACTATAAAACGGTTTTAGATAGTTTCAGTGCCACTGTAAAACTCAGCCATTTGTTCCTTTGGCAAGAAAAAGAGTATGGTGGAAAAGAAAGGCATGTACACCACAAAAGGTTTTTAGGATTAGATGTTGAGCTTTCAGGCTGTGAAAAGGTCCATATAAACGCAGTGTTTCCATTTTAAATAAAATATCCTAAGTCTCTAGAAAACTGTGAAAATTATCTTAAAATCTGGATTCAGTGATTATCCAGAGGGCACACTTTGTGTCTTAACACTGATGCTCAGTGCAGCAGTTCCTCCTTTGCTTGCCAGAGAGGTACCAAATTAAATCGTATTATACTTGGACTTGCCTCATGATTGTTTAAGGTGGAGTCTGTGTGTCTGAAAGAACAAAAAAAGGAAAGTACAGAAGGCAAACAGTAGTCCACCAACTCGTGTTTGTTCATGTTGTTCCTCTCAGGTTCATGGGGTGAAAAAGCTCTGATCATAGATAAAGTGCATTAAAAACAAAAACCTGAAAAATTATGCTAATGATTTACTATGTGGTTACTGATAGGTCACATATAACAACTTTTTGTATCACTTCTTTAGGGCATTTAAATCTTCATAGTGGAGTAATTCAGCAGATATTTTTAAAAGTATGAGTATTGGAAACTTTTTAGTCATTTTCCTTTCTTTGCACACTTTATTTTTTAAACAATAACTTTAAAATAATCAGTGAATGAGAAATTAAATGGATCAGTTCTGGAAAGCAAACTACCAGAATGTGTACACCTGCCATGTTTCCTTAAAATAAGACTGATTTAAAAGCCTTGCTAGCAAATAGTTTTACACAGAGATTAAAGAAAACTAGATGAGGTACAATGTTTGTTTTCCCATCAATAAAACATTTGTGTTTAACATTAAAACCCCCAGTTAGATGGTGACAGCATTGGAGACAGTCATGACAGCACTGCCCTCCTGTTACTTACGGACAGTCTCTCAGGACCAGATTTCTCTAGGAGCCCAATGACTCCAGGAACCCCAATAGGACGGGCAGTGGTGGAAACAAATGGATGACTGTTGGCTCTCTGATAGGTAAGGAGACCTGGAAAGGGCAGGGCCACCATTGCCTCAAAGGAACAGCTATGTCTCATTCTCAGAGGTTAAATTTCTTGGAACTATTTGACCTCAGGCTGTAGAGCAAATGTTTTTTTAAAAAAAAAAAAAAGTTATGCAGGACAAACCAGCCTGGGGAGGAGATGTTGAATATCTGTATGAGCCTGGTGGAACCACTGTAATCAAATGTGAAATTACAGTTGATTAATTAAAGTAAAAGAACTTAAGTCTTTATTTCTTAATCGTTGCATGAGACCCCAGTGAGCAATATTCCCCCAGGCAAATTAACCAAAAGTATAACTTTTGAAAAAAATTCCAACATTTATGATGACTGTGAACCTTTATGGTGTATATTTTATACTTGAACAACAGTGATTTCTTCATTACTATATTTATCAAATGATTATCAAAGTCAGTTATTTTTCAGGGCTTCCTATTTTTCTCGGAAACACATCCTAAGGGTGTAAGGAAGTTGAACTCTTGCTTTATGGAATCATGCATTGAAGATGTCATTTATTTTAGTTTAAAAAGCAAAATGGAGGCAGTTCCTTCCAGTGACTAAAATGTTTTAACTTAAAGTTTAATTAACCAAAAAAAAGGAAAAAAAAAAGCCACATTCCCATTTTCCAATTCACAAAGACAGGTTTTCTTTTTTTGAAAAAAAAAATGCCTGAAACATTACAGATAATATCCCAAATGATTACTATGTAAACATTGTCATTACAATGAAATTAGTATGATATCAGCTCCATTTCACATTGTAAACAGCAGGACTGAATGCAGAAGCCTATTTAGACTGTCCAGTGTTTGTGCAGGTTTTTAAATGAACCATACAAAATCTACATTGTTCTACCTTCTTGTCAAGAGGATCCATCTGTTTCCAATTATTGGCCTTTAACTGATGAAGTTCATCAAATTTCATACTAATATTTTCTATGGACAACTGCAGCATGTCCCAAAACCCCGCCAAATCCTGGGAGGTGGGCCTTGGATGAGCATTAGGATTCTGTATGAGAGAAAGAAAAACATTCGTGCTTTAGAGGCGACGTGACAGCATGCAGAGGGCCAAAGAGGCATTTTCAAATATTCGAATAATGTAAGGAGGATGAGTTCCTTTTGGTTCTTAGACAAGAGATAAAAGGAAGGCTACACGTGGTAATCTTATCCACTCCTGGGTGAGTCAGTGACTTTCAAATGTCAAGGCTGTAAAACTCCTCTGTTCGGATACAACAGAATGGCTGTATCAGTTTGGTAAAGGAGAAGGGTCAAAACATTTGAAAAATCCCAGAATGCATAATCTATTACCGGATGCATTTTTAAACACCGTATTTAAATGAAAATGCCATCTTTGAAAAAATAATACAGTATAGTACTATTAGATATTTGACTCCATACCACACAATTTATTCAGAGAACAGCTAAGAAATCTAGAATAAGATTAGTTTTAAACTTATGTTGAATAATAAAATAATGTTTTCAAAGTATTGTATTGTGTATGAACTTTGTGTACAAACATCAAACATACTATGTATGTGGTAGATGCGTGTGTGCGTGCATGCGTGTGTGTGCGTGCATGTGTGTGTGCGTGTGTGTGTGTGCATGTGGGGGGATTGAACCAGGGCCTTGAACACGTGAGACACGTGATCTATCACTGAGATACATCCTCTTTCCCTCAAAATACTATGTGTTTGGCAATTAAGATGTCACTAATATAGGAAGTCATTTTATCTTAGGACTGCTTTAATAAAATCATTTGAGAATTAATTGATTTTATCATTTTTCTTTTTTTGCAATATTGGGAATTGAACTCAGGACCTCATGCTTGCTAGGCAAGTGCTCTACAACTTAAGCCACCCACCTAGTCCTTAGATGATTTTAATTAGACTGTAACGTAGTATAACGAATGTGAGAACACTGTATGTACCATACATATGCATGTCTGTAAGGACTCATTTGCTAGAATGGCAAGCACTTTTCAGTGTTTCAGGATTGATTTGCTTTGTTGCTATCCAAATATTCCTGACAAGGGATGAACCTTGAGTTATCTAACCTAAGGCAGAAAAAAAAACCCACAATCAAGAGACTGAAGGTGGCATGCTCACTGCTAAAGTACTGAAAGAGTACTTTAAGGTATTTATGGTTAAGTGGTGGGACCCTCCATGTATCCAGAGCTTCTGTCCCATGTCACTTTTGGTTACCTGTCGGTATCCAGGTGCCTGGACAGACTCTGAAACCTCACGTTATATAATAACAGGAGGCTGGTTTGTACTGTTAAAACTAACCTCTAAGAAAAATGATATCATTAGAATTTCAGAAAGGCCAAAAGTTATGGCCATAAAAGGTAACAGGTTAGAAAGAACTTCTATATCCTTGGATGGACTAGTATCATAGGCCTGGCATAAAATAGATGCAAGTAAAGATGTATTTATAAGTGTATACTTCCAGAACTAAACATAGTTTTGAAATTCCTTGGAAGAATAAGTTCTGAAGTTGTAAGTACTTAGTTCATAATTAAAATGTATTAGGGGCTGGAGGTTCAGCTCAGGGTGCAATGCTTGCTTAGCGTGCTAAGGGCCTTGGTTTCGATCAATCATCAGCACGAAACAATTAACAATCACAGAAAAGGATTCTAATGACACCTGAGTTAACCACAGGGCTCTCTACATCATTTTGACTTTCAAGTAATGAATAACAACAAAATGTCTCTCTGGGTGTGGTGGTACACACTTGCAATCTTAGCACTGCGAGGATGAGGTAAGAGGATTGTGAGCTCCAGTTTGGGCTACATAGCAAGATCTTGTCTCAGAAAAAAAAAATCATCAACATCTAGACATTCAAAATAGATGGGTAATAGCTTTGACAAAGTGCCTCTCAAATAGTTTTATGATCTCACAATATATTTGGCCTTATCCATAACTAAAAACTAAACTGTAGGTATTTTGTAGTTCAGTGAATCTTCTGGGTCACAAGCCCTATTAGCTAAACTGCTTCAGCACCAATGTAGGAAATAATACAGGTTGAGTATCCCTTATCTGAAACTCTTGGGACCTGACGTTGAGATTTTGGACTTTTTAGGATTTTGAAATATCTGCATATACATTATAGGAAACCTTGGGGATGGGACTCAAGTGTAAACATGAAATTCATTTATGTTTCATATACATCTTGTATTATAGCCTGAAGGTAATTTTTTTTCCCATAGTACTGGGTTGCATTTGCTAGGCAGGTGCTCTACCACTTGAGCCACACCCTTTTTGTTTTGTTTTTCTGTTTTAGTTTACTTTTGAGGTAGAGTCTCATGCTGACTTTGCCTTGGCTAGCCTTGAAATGTTTTCACCTCCGGAGTAGCTGGAATCACAGTCCTGAAGGTAATTTTGTACAATATTTTTAATATACCTAAGTTTTGACTACAGTTTGTCACATGAGGTCAGATGTGAAATTTTCTACTTGTATTGTCATGTCAGTGCTCCAAAAGTTACAGATTTTAGAACACTTCTGATTTCAGATTTTTTTGTTTTGTTTGTTTGTTTGAGGTTTTTGAGACAGAGTCTTACTCTGTATCCCAAGCTGGTCTGAATTTCACAAGCCTCCTGTTTCAGCCTCCAGAGTGCTGGGATTGTATTCATCATGCACCACCACACCTGGCTGATTTTTTTTTTTTTTTTTAATTAAGGATGCTCAATCTGTAGTGTGAATGGACCTGAACACTTGTGATGTTTTTTTAAAATGTACTCAACTCTGTATCTGGGCAACTTGTTCCTTTCCCAAAAAAGAATCACTTTGTCGAAAAGATAGACGAGGGGCTGGCAGAGTAGCTCCAGTGGTAGAGCACTTGCCTAGCAAGCATGAGGCCCTGAGTTCAAACCTCAGCACCACCAAAAAGAAAAGAAAAAAAAAAAAAAAGAAAAGATAAGAGCAAACAAAGGGTGTAGGTGCTCATCCATTCTCCAAATCCAAGGGCATCTGACATTCTGTGCTCAACAGGGAGTGGCAGCTCCCTGCTTAATCTAAACCAGGCCATTTTGGAGGTCAGAGGAGGGTGAAGTGAGAGGAGGAAAAGTAGGGCTTTGTTCCTTGATTTAGTTATCTTGGAAAAAGTCAACTTTTATCCATTCATTCTAAGCCTGAAATCTAGTCTGGGATAATGTAAGTTTTCTAAAATAGACCTATTATTTTTCTCTTCCTCTGAGCAGGAACTCAAGAAAATATGGCTGAGTCTGTTTCTGACTAATCATAGTACCAGTTTTACGCAGCCTTAGACCTAAGTGGGGCTACCACCAGGCCACCCCGCTTTGTGTAGTGGGTGGAGCTGACTTCACTCCACGAAGGTGAGGAGTGGAACTCAAATCCTGATTGGAATTTATAAGGATTGAAGTCAAGTAGACTGGGATTTAAGTCTTGGCTCTGCTCTGGCCAAGGTTTTTAGCCTTTCCACACCCATTTTTCTCATCCATAAAATCATCATAAAAGTAATGTCACTATTAATTCTACATGGAAATCCTGAGAATTTAACCAGATCAGAAATCTAAAAGTTCTTAGTATGGCATTTGGTGTACATAGGGTCTTGGTCTTCCCTGCAGGGACTTGATTTGAGCATCAATGACCTTCATCCCCAGTGTGGCATTACTACAGTCTACCTCTAACAGGACTTTTCCATTTCACTGCCCCAGTTTCTGTAGTGGTCAAGAAATAACAGGCCCATCAGAAACGAGGAAGCTTCAGAAGTTGGCTTTAAGAAGATTGATATTTCCTAGAAAATCAGCAAAATGTTCCAGAAATTTTGTTTGCAATTTCATCTTTAAGATCTGCACAATGTTTACATTCAATACACTTGCTCATCAAATAATTCTTTTAACACCTCAAGGGCTATATGTCCCTGAGGTGTGTACACAGTGACTTCCTTGTGCACCTATTGACCAGTTTGAGCAATATGGCTTTATAAGCCCTTTCTTACATTTAAAGGATAAACAATCGTGTTAATGAAGATCTGTGACACATTAGAAAGATTGCAGATTAGCAGGATTTCTACACCTGGAACAGAGCTGAAGCTCAAAAAAACATTGGTTGAGTTGAGTTTGCTTATCAATTCATTAATATAAATTGTCTCATAATCCAGAATAGATTTCTGACAAAGTGGAAAAAGGGCTAGGTGATTTTTTTTTTTTTTTTTTCTGAAACAGGGGAAAACAAACTATTGGGGGAGAGGAGAAAGAAATACTCAAAAGGAAGAAAAAAAAGATATACTCCAAAAAAGAAAAGCCTGGAGAGTGAAAAGGGGGGTACGACCTCTTGCATGTTTTATATTTTCTCTTGATTGAACTCTGTCTAGATAAATCTCATCTGGTCTGCATTTGTCCTTGTAAACAAGATTCTTTGTGAGGAGAGAACAAAGTGCCCATGATACAGAGTTAAAACTCTAAAATCATATTTTGGGTCATTTAGATTGCAAATAGTCATATTTTCACTTTCCACATATAAATAGTCGCTTTTCATTTTCTTTGTTTTAGATCCAGCTTGAGCAACAATTGAGCAATAAAAGCTATACTTGTGGAGACAGAAGCAATTTTTTAAAGAACACATGTGAGGAAGGTCTTGCCCTTTTAATTTTGTCGTCATTTTAAAAAATACTATTGTTGGTAGTGGTGCTTTCCTCTTTTTGTTTTGCTTAATTTTGTTTTTGTATGTCCAAAATGAATGAAGTATTCATTCATCTCAGGGAGATAAATCTATCTACACTTTGATGTCCTCTACCTCTCGATTTTGAATTAGACCAGAAAACTCTGATTAGGAAATAGTCATTATCAGCTATTTTAGAAAGAAAACCACGACCTAGGATGATTTTATTTGTAATATTATTTTTAAAATATCAGGTTGCTTCATATTTGGAGAAGAATAATAAAATCGAGGTATCATGAGAATGCTGGGAAAATGGAAACTTTTCAGCTACCTAAAAGCAGGAAATGGAGTTTTAAGTTGATTGCCCTTTCTTTTCTCCTAAGATTTAAGTGTCAAATAAGTATTTTTTTAATTTCAAGAAAAGTAGGAAACAACATTCAGGAGGAAATTGTCTATTTCAGGTGAAAGAACTAAGCCTGGACTTGATTGAAACGTAGTTTGCTTTAGCTGGGCTAGGCTTGAAAAGTTCTTCTCCTGGCGCTGTACTAGAGGGGGTGATGGCAGTGGTACCTACCAGGTTTTCTTCACACAGTTCTCTGAACTGGTAGAATTTCTGGGCCATGAGAAGTTGGGCACTGCCCACTGCGGTTCGGATTTTCCCTAGAACTGAAAAGAGCAAACATAAAAGAAGTTTACACTGGATGCCTCACTGTTGAGATTTAGTCTGTAAATAAAGCAAGGAGAAAATTATGTTGTCACTATTAGGAAAAACAGCACACCCAGCACGCCCACGCCCACCCAGAGCGCCCAATCCCTTCCTCGCTCTTCGCTGTCCATGGAACAGGCTCTGAAATCCACACGGAAAAACACACGAGCGTCATGCATATTTCTCGGGAGTCTTGGGGTTTTCCATCACAGCACTGCATGGTACCAAGAGAAGAGGCAAATAGTTTTTGGTGGTTTTTTTTAAACCTCTTTTGCTGCAAGGATAAATCTCAGAAGTGTTTACCGCATCGTTAGGGATTTATACAGCCAGCAATCATGATTTGCTGGGTTGTTTTTCGAATCCTAACTCAAACACAAAAAAATGCAGTCCTAAATCGGAGGGAGGAATCTCTTGGCACTCACCAGACCCCATCCACATCCTTCATCATTTTGCCGGAGCTCAGCCACCGGCACTGGAGGACAAGCGAAAAGTGACAGTGCACTGCTCGTTGCGCAGGGAAGGCCAGCGCGGACTTGGCTTTCCACTGCATAGCCCACTTTTCTCCTTAATATGGCTTCAATTTCCCCGCGCACTGTGCTGCAAGCCTTGCCCTATGCAAGCAAGCTGTTTCTCGTCTCCCGCGCAGTCCCAGGCGCGCACCCTGGACTGCCAGCCCCGGGCTCCGATGGGGCGGGGCGCCTGCGCAGAGTCCCCAGGGCTGCGCGTCCCCCGGGGCTGCCGCGGCACCGCCATCCGAACAGCTGCCAGGGCGGGAGCCCTGCCACTGGGCGGTTTGTAACACGCCCTCTCGGGGCAGGAGGAAAGGGGAGACGGCGCCCACACGGAAAACTAGTCCCAGAAGGGCCCTGACCCAGTATGCAAATGGTCCTGTGGGAGAGACAGTGTAGGGTAGGGTTTGAGCAATCTTCTCTGAATTTACACAATAGGAGTGGAATTAAATCTCCTTTTCTCAACCACGTTCCCCACAAAGTTTGAAGAGAAGAAAACAAAAGAAAAAGAAACTTCATTTCCCCAAGTTTTCTAGTAATTTGCTCCTTGGTGGCTTACAGTGTCAGGCTAGGTAATGGTTTATGTGTGATACACTGTATAGCCACTACTCAGCGTTTGTAAATTCTTCCATATGTCACCAGTCACACCAAGCAGCTCAAGGGCAGGTATCTGCCTCCTCAGTCATATCACCAGGTTCCTCTGTAGAGCTGTCTGGCAGCAATTTCTTAGGCATAAGTTTTGACTTTCTTTCCAATCTGCTCTCAATGTCTTTTTGGGATTGTTATCCTTTTCCTCCTGAACAACAACAACAAATCAGTCGTGTGAGCCCTCCTCTCACTTTCTCAACATTCTTAAAGCAGAAAGGACAGTTATGGAGACACAGGGTATTTGAATTAGTAAGAGGTCAGGACCTTCATGGGCCTAATAAATGATGGGTATGGGATGTTCTCAATTCTCTGAGATAACCCACTTTCACCCCTCAAAGTGTCTCTGTCCTAATAAACTTAACTATAATATTGTCATTCTCGACCTAGAAAGGTCCCACTTCCAGTCTGTTGAAAATATATTCCTTTCCTAATAAACTTTGCTATCACTTTATTAAAAAAAAAAAAGTGGGTTATGCTCTAGCACCAGAAAACTTAGTTCCTGCATGGATGTGACACCAGAGAACCATACTTGCCTCTGTCAAAACAGAAGAGGAAAACCCCCAAAGTTTGGGTTAATTAGAGGTCACTGGTCATCCTGGTTGCCTGGGATGGGTATGTTTTCTAGATGGCCTGTCCCAGATCTGGGAAAGAAGATGAAGCAGGCACTTCCTAAGTAAACATGTGTTGTGAAGCAAGCTCTGAGGCTCAGGAAAGCCAGTCTGAATAATCTTGGTGAAGGGCAGATTACGACACATCAAGTCTCAAGACTAAATCCGGGAGTTTAGAACAAGAATACCCAATTCTCCAATTTGCTGGTTGGGATTCCATAGCTCCTGGGAACTATCATAGAAACTTCAGCTATTCTGATAGACCTCAAAACTTGGAGCTAATGGTTCTCAATTACATCTGAATACCTGGCCTACCACAGGGGTAGCTAAACACCAAAACTGGTGGCTCACATCTGTATTCCTAGCTACTCAGGAGGCAGAGATCAGAAGGATTGTGGTTTGAAGCCAGAACTTATCTCAAAAAAAAAAAGAGTAGCTAAGTAAGACAGTGCTTCTCAAAAGAGGAGACAACACTGCTCTAGATAGTCATCCAGGTGACACACACCAGATAGGTAGGGGATAACTTGTAACTTGGATGTCTTCCTGGAAGTAAAACAAGGAACATCTTTCTTCATTCAGCAAGGTCTGAGAGAACCCTGGATTCAGGTCCCTAGTGACAATATTTGGGGTGGAGTTGTTGCTCTCTGCTTCCTGGGGTTTTGCCCTCTTGTTCTGTGAATGGAAATTCCCTATTGGCTGCAGGATACTGGCATTTTCAGTATTCTAGGCCTAGGGTGGGGATGATGACTTGGACCTGAGTAAAACCATGCAACAGAAGGGCTTTGGACAAGCAGATGACAACTCATATTTCCTTGCTCTCCACACTTTCTTTTCCAAAGAACTACAAATTCTCTTTAAATTTAAGAAAGAAGCTCTAACAGATCTTCTGGGTTTTTGTTTCTTTTTTCCATTGAACTTAGCATGTGAGATAAAATGTTTCCTCCTGAAAATACATTTTATGTTTGTTACACATGCCTTGAAGAAGTAAGAAAATAATATGCAATAAATGGAACACACCTGTGGAAGTAGAACGCAAAGACCTAAAATCTGATAAAGAAATGAGAAAAAAAGATGGTGGAGTAGCTCAAGTGCAGACCATCTGTCTAGCAAGCATGAGACCCCGAGTTCAAATCCCAGTATAGCTTAAAAAAAAAACCAAAAAGAAATGAGAAAAAGAAGAAAGTAAGCTGAGTACAATGGTACACACTTATAATCCAGCACTCAGGAGACTAGGGGAATCTAGAGTTCTGGTTCTAGGCTAGCCTGGCACTAGATGAGCAAGACCTCATCTCAAAAGGAAGAGGAGATTTTCGAACACTAGAAAAGGGGGAAAATTAAAAAAAAAAAAAAAAAAGAGAGAAGGAGAGCCAGGCACCAGTGACTCACACATGTAATCCTAGCTAACTGGGAGGCTGAGATTGGGAGGATCAAAGTTCAAGGCCAGCCAGGGCAAAATAACCAGAGCAAAATGGACTGGAGATGTGGCTAAAGCAATAGAGCGCCTGCTTTGCAAGTGTGAAGCCCAGAGTTCAAACCCCAGTCCCACAAAAAAAAAAAAAAAAAAAAAAGAAAGAAAGAAAGAAAAAGAAAAGAAAGAGGAGGAGGGGAAGAAGGAGAAGGAGGAAGTGAAAAAGAAGAAAGTAGTATCTTGATATAATTTTGAAACTATTTGAAAATGTGCAATACCAAGCTACGACAATAGTGGGAAGAGAAATGAGTCTCTTAGGGATGCTAGAGAAAAAAGAGAAAGGGAGCTATAATAGGGAATGAAGCAGACAGGCTGCACTGTGGGCTCTTCTCATACACACAAAGCAGCCCAACCTGGTATTATAGAGTTCTGGAAGAGGCCTTAGAATTAGGCATATTTCCAAGAAAATTCTTGAATTTCACTATTGTTCTGCAGCATGGTGGCAATTAACTTAAAGGGAGCTGGCTTGGCCCTCAAGGCCAAGGCCAAAGGGGCCAGCAGAACCTGAAAAGACTTGTGAGATCTAGTCTCAAGGCATACCTTCTAATTATGTTTTCACAGAGCAAGGAAAGGCCACTTGGGAAATTCATTCATTCTTTCAGCAAACATTTACTAAGAGTCTACTACGCCAGGCAATATGCTAGATGGGTATGACACACGGTGCTAAGTTCCTCCCTCGTGGAGTTGTATCTTGGTGGCGGGTAATGGGAAAACGTGATAGGAAGCGTGCAGACCCAGATAGAAACCTTCTGGATTTGCCACGTTGAGACAGATGCAGCTGAGCATGATTGAGCAACTCCAGAGGTAGTTAATTTCTTCAATGGGATTAGGGAACATTGAGTATTTTTCTTCTCCTAAGAAATGGAAAACAGACAAATAAAAATATGGTTTGTGGTGATTTTAGCTGCAATGTAAAAACTGGCTCTGGATGAAACAGTTTGTTTTAATAATCACAATTTGATCATTCCACTACTTTTTATTTGGAAAAAATTAAGACACTTTAAAGTCTTTTGACTTTCCTACTCAAAGGATGATAATACAAACTATCTCATATGTGCTCTCCCCTAAAAGAACTAGTATTGGGTTTTAATTTTGTTTTCAGATTTGCTTCTAAACGTGTTTACTTTATTTTTTTTCCCTTTACACCAATGAGCTGCAGACCTACAGGTAAGTACATGTTCTTCCCTTCTGTCCTAGTCTTCTGTCTTAGGAAGCCACTGGAATGGAGAACGACTATTTTAGTCTCTTCACTGAGTTCCCTAAGGTCTCTGGTTCTGGAAAGGTGAAAACTAAGAGACTTTTGAGTGTAAGCAAAAGAGTGTTAGAGAAAGGCATGATTCTGCTAGCACAGTTGAGAGTCGATGGCCTGAAGCAGCAGATTTTCTCTGAAAGTTAGAATGGGGGCTTAAAACACTTGTCAGTCCAGGATGGGGTCTGTGCTGGGGTTCTGTGTAGTCAGCCTCCTTCACACTTGGGTGAATACAATCTTTCCAGATTGTTCAACCAAATGTGGCACTGTAGTTTAGACTTTGAATGTCCTCCAAAGGTCCATGTATTAAAAGCTTGGTTACCAGCCTGTGGTGATATTGGGAGATGGTGCAAATGGAGGAGGTGGGGCACGGTGGAAGCAAGTTAGGTCATTGGGGTCGTGCCCTTGGAGGTGATATTGGGACCCCAGCCCCTTCCTCTCTTTCACTTCCCAGCTGCCAGGAGGTGAGCAGCCTCCA